AGGTGCTGGCGAAACGTTAGGAAACAGAACTTCAAGAACACGGCCACACAGCCCGGAAGACCCACACCAGCCATCGTATGCCGGCCGTGAAAGCCTTCGACAATACATTGTGATTCTATATTGGAACAAGAGGCATAGAACAAAGAACTAGAAACATTAAGCAAAAGGAGGAACCACAGTAAACCACAAAAACAGTTGGTTTCAGGCTAAGCCGAAGCTCCAAATAAAAAGCTGGAAGATAAAAGCAGTACAAAGCTAGAAGCAAAGTTACTGGCGTGTCTCCACTAAATCTGTAACACAGATACCTGAAGCTTGAGTCAGCATTTTTTCATAAAATAAGGTTAGGTATGAAGTAAGCAAACAAATGTACTCATATTAATTAGCAAGTGGGCCATAGGTTTCTAAGGATATTCCAGCATTAGGGGGTCTTCTATAAACCAGGAGATTCATGCACCAGGGGTCTTCTGTAAACAACATGTGACTTTTACCACTAACCCTTGGCCTTTCTTCCAACCTGGAGATTGAGGGGGTACCTACAAATCCTCAACTTTCCAGTACCATTTTAAATCAAACCCTTGATTTCAGTCCTTACAGGAAGGTATAGATAAACACACACCGATTATTAGCTTACTCGCCCATGAATCTTAATTAGCTATGACACATTAGGGCTGTTTTATTTTTTATTTCCTGGTGAGATTGAACCTATCAGCAGAGTTGTAGTGAGCAGCTCTGTCTCTGAGTTCACACATTGTACAAAGTCATAATGAAATTTGCTTGGTTTGGCTGTAGTGAGCCAATCAGTGGCTGGGTTGTTTGTGTGAACCCAGCTGATAATTCACAAGCTGTGGCTTTCAACTTGCTTGGCACAATGGGAGAACCTATCTTGTATGCATCGTGAGCTTGGTTCCTGACATCAAGCAAATGTATGTGTAGAGGTGGGCCTTTGTGGATACATTTTTCATATGGAGGCTTCCATGCCAGCTAGATGGATCAGAACATTCTACACTGTAAGTGGGAAATCAAAGGAAAGGTTATTTAACATGCATTTAAATTAGAGCTCTCTGGCCAGATCCCACTCATGTATTTATCATTAACTTTAATCCAGGAATAGATCTATTGAAATGGTTTGTTACTTGCAGAAAAATCTTATTACCTGGAGAGAAATCGTAAGCACCACAGGTAACCAGTTTGGTGTACTGGTGAAGGTGCTGTCCTAGAAACCAGGATGCTGTGAGTTCTGAGTCTCCCTTCGGCATCAAAGCGGCTGGGTGACTGTGATGGAATGGAATTCTGAAGGCCAAGCTCAGGGAGACAAACATTTTGATAGCTCGCCAGAACAGTGTGGGAGGAACAAGAGGATGAGACAGGCACCTCCCTGAGGAATTCACACTGTTGTGGCTGGAGGCCTTTGGGAACTGGGGTTTCAGTCTGGGAAGACTCTTGCGAGAGGTTATAGCTAATAAACATAGCTGGACAGAATTGGCATTGTCTCTTGGAGTTGCTTGGGCAAGGCCGGACA